TAGTAGAACTTTTAAATATAAATGTTCATGATTCTAATAATTTGAAAAATAACTGTATTTAAGTATTTATTATGCGCCAAGCCCTGTTCTAGACACTTTTATTTATTTTATTATTGTACTTTAGATGAAAGTTTACAGAACTAGCTTCTCATTAAACAATCAGTACACAGATTGTTTTGTGACATGGTTATCAAACCCACAACATGTCAACACTCTCCTCTTGTCAACTTTGAGTTCCCCGTTACCAGCTTTCCTGTCCCCCTCTGCCTTCTAGTCCTTGTCCCTGAGCTGGTGTGCCCCTTTAGTCTCATTTTGTTTTATGGGCCTGTCTAATCTTTAGCTGAAGAGTGAACCTCAGGAGTGAGTTCATTGTTGAGCTAAAAGGGTGTCCGGGGGCCATACTCTTGGGGTTTCTACAGTCTCTGTCAGACCAGTAAGTCTGTTTTTGTTTTTTTGTTTTTTTTTTTAATGGGTTAGAATTTTGTTCTACATTTTTCTCCAGCTCTGTCTGGGACCCTTTATTGTGATCTCTGTTGGAGCAGTCGGTGGTGGTAGCCGGGCACCTTCTAGTTGTGCTGGACTCAGTCTGGTGGAGGTTGTAGTACTTGTGTCATTTGGACTAATCTTTCCCTTGTGTCTTTGGTTTTCTTCATTCTCCCTCCCTCCCGATGGGGTGAGATCAGTGGAGTATCTTAGATGGCCACTCACAAGCTTTTAAGACCCCAGATGCTACCAAAGTAGGATGTAGAACATTTTCTTTATAAACTATGTTATGCCAGTTGAGCTATATGTTCTCAAGACCATAGTCCCCACAGCCCTCAGCCCAGTAATTTGATCCCTCAGGGAGTTTGGAAGTGTCTATGGAGCTTCCATGATCTTGCCTTGGACAGGTTGTGCTGACTTCCCCAGTATTGTGTACTGTCCTAACCTTCATCAAAGTTACCACTTATCTATTGTCTATTTAGTGTTTTTCCATCCCCACCCCTCCCCTCCCTCATAACCATCAAAGATCGTTTCTTTTTGTGTGGAAATCTTTTCATGAGTTTTTATAGTAGTAGTTTCATACAATATTTGCCCTTTTGTGATTGACTTATTTCACTCAGCATAATACCTTCCAGATTCATCAATGTTGTGAGATGCTTCACAGATTTGTCATTGTTCTTTATCTTTACGTAGTATTCCATTGTGGGTTTGTACCCTAGTTTGTTTATCCATTCATCTGTTGATAGGCATCTAAGTTGTTTCCACCTATTTTTTTTTGCTATTGTGAACAATGCTGCAATGAACATGGATGTGCATATGTCTATTCGTGTGACGGCTCTTATTTCTCTAGGATATATTTCTAGGAGTGGGATTGCTGGATTGTATGGTATTTCTATTTCTAGATTTTTAAAGAAGTGCCATATTGTTTTACAAAATGGTTGTACCATTTTGCATTCCCACCAGCAGTATATAAGAGTTTCAATCTCCCCACAGCCTCTCCAACATTTGTTATTTTCTGTTTTTTTGATTTGTGCCAGTAATGTTGGGGTAAGATGGTATCTCATTGCAGTTTTCAACAAATGGGTTATTTTTTATTTCTACCTTCATTTTGAAATAAGTAAGATAAAGCTCAGAATGTTTAAAAGACTCATCCAAAATCACATAAAAACTAAGCAGAGGAGTTGGCTCCAAATTCTATGTTCTATTCAGTATACATTATGGCTCCTTCATGCTTCCTCACCATTGTTTTCTTCTGTGTTTTAATAATTGTCTAGTATTTTATTTATTCAGAGGTTAGACTTCTAATCTCAATAAACCAAACTCAATCAGAGACCCACAAGGAAGCCAAAAAATAAAATAAAGTAAAATAAATATCCTGTAATAATTGAAAAATTAGTACTTATAAAAAACCAGCTGTGGTTGAGTCAACTCCGACTCAGGGGGACTCCATGTGTGTCAGAGTAGAACTGTGCTCTATAGGACTTTCAGTGACTGATTTTTCAGAAATAGGTTGACAGGCCTTTCTTTTGAGGTGCCTCTGGGTGAACTGGAACCTCCAACCTTTCGGTTAGCCACTGAGCTTGTTAACCATTTGCACCACCCAGTGACGCCATAGTACTTACACACTCACATATTTAATGTTTTTAGCAGTGGATTGCAGTCACTTTCAGTCTAGAACCTATAAATCTTGTATTTTGTGTACAATATGTAATAAATTGTACAACATAATTATAGGAGGCAGCATATTAGAAACTGCAGGAAAAATTTACTACTGTCAATCAGAGAGGAAACAAGTATCATTTACCAGGGAAGCCAAGCAAATAAGGGCTGTTTACAAGTGGAGAAACAGTTCTATATTCCTTAATATTTGAGGTTATCCCTGTATTATGCCATATTATAGAAATCTGCCCCCTCATAATGTTCACCTGCATTACTGACTGATTTGCTGAAAAGCTTTATATGAATTAACCTCAATATTTACATTAGTGAGTGTTCTTCCCAACATGTTTAGCGGTTATAACTAATACATATATTATATAAGGGATATTTAACAGCACCTGACAAACATTCATTGTTGAATTCAAGCTGGTCTCTTGAAATATCATAAACTCTTGGACTGCTAAATTTCTCAGTGGCTGCTTTAGTTGATAGCTATATTTCAATGCCTATGTTACAATTATATGCAATAATCACTTGTTAACTTTTGGAGAACGTGAAAAATTGTTTTAATATACATAATTTCCTAGATTAAAAAACTTTTTTTTTCACATTTAGTATTTCCAACACTAGCGTATGTTTTATGACCCTGTGTACCTATTTCTATGAAAAATCAGTGACCTGTCTTTTACGCAAATACTCTAAATACAAAGGTGTTTATTTCACTATTGTCAGAGTAAAATTTGGAAACAACCCAGATAGAAATCAATATGTGAGTGGTTAATTATATTATGGTATATTCATACAATGGAATTCTATGCAGACATTGTATTGTCAAAGAAAAATAGCCAACATGTATTGTTAAGTGCGATATTTACCGACTAACGATAAATGTGCAAATATCCATTATTTCTTCTTAAATATTTGGACTATAATTCTTGTAACTGAATGACAGTGCCTTCTATTATGTAATAAAATCATGATTAAACACTTTTCCACCTGAATAAACACAAAGATTAAAAAGGAGCAATTAAGTCATTTAACTTGATTTAAAAATAAATTATAAAAATGGGAAAAAATCACTTATAGCAAAATATAAAAGATATTGTACATCTAGGCATCACTTAAGGGAGCCTTGGTGGTGCGGTGGTTAAAGTGATGGACTGCTAACCAAAAGGTTGGCAGTTTGAAACCACCAGTGGCTCTGCAGGAGAAAGATGTGGCAGTCTGCTTCTGTAGAGATTTACAGCCTCAGAAGCCCTATGGGGTTCAGAATCAACTCACCGGCAGTGGGTTTAGGCATCAGTTAAGTAACTAATAACAATTAAGATCAAGGACTACAGCCTTCAGTATGGATTACACCTCAACATGAAGAAAACAAAAATCCTCACAACTGGACCAATAAGCAACACCATGATAAACAGAGACAAGAATGATGCCAAGGATTTCATTTTACTTGGATTCACAATCAACACCATGGAAGAAGCAGTCAAGAAATCAAACAATGTATTGCATTGGACAAATCTGCAGCAAAAGGCCTCTTTAAAGTGTTAAAAAGCAAAGATGTCTCACCTTGAGGAATAAGCTGCACCTGACCCAAGCCATATTTTCAATGGCCTCATATGCATGCAAAAGCTGCACAATGAATAAGGAAGACTGAAGAGGAATTTATGTCTTTGAATTATGGTGTTGGCAAAGAATATTGAATATACCATGAACTGCCAAAAGAACAAACAAATCTGTCTTGCCAGAATGCTCCTTAGAAGCAAGGATGGTGAGACTTTGTCTCATGTACTTTGGATATGTTATCAGGAAGTACCAGTCCCTGGAGAGAAGGACATCATGCTTGGTAAAGCAGAGGATTAGCGAAAAAGAGGAAGGGCCTCAATGAGACAGATTGACGTACTGGCTGCAACAATGGGCTCAAACATAGCAAAGATTGTGAGGCTAGCACACGACCAGGCAGTGTTTCGTTTCTGTTGCACACAGGGTCGCCATGAATAGAAACTGACTTGATGGCACCTAACGACAACAACTGAGACAATTGTTATCCTGTTATTTAACAGAATTCTAGCCTTAAGATAATGTACATACTGAATTTTTTAGACCTTGAAAGGGACCTCTGCAAGTGCTTTGTCCATTAGAGTAGCCACGAGTTACATGTGGCTATTGAACATTTGAAATGTGGCTAGTCCAGATTGAGAGCCCTGGTGGCCTAGTGGTTAAGAGCTCCGCTGCTAAGAAAAGGTTGGCAATCTGAATCCATTAGCCGCTCTTTGGAAACCCTATGGGGCAGTTCTACTCTGTCCTGTAAGGTCACTATGAATCGGAATTCACTCGATGGCAATGGGTTTTGGTTTTTGATATAAGTGTGAAATACACGTTAAATACTGAAGACCTGTAGGAAAAAATAATGTAAAATGTCTCATGAATAAATGGGGAAATTGGGAGACAGTTCCGTTGTTCCGTCTTTACGCATCTCCCTTTCCTTGCTTCCTTCTAAGTACTAAAATACTAGCATTCTTTGACTTTCATTAGAGTTACTCATAGGGCTTCCCTTCTGTGTTAGCAGTTGCCAGAATCAAGTTGTACCTTTTTTTCCCCTCTCCCCACACGGAAGCAAAGAAGGACAATAGCCTTGTACGTTCGCTCAGGGCAACTGTCAATTCGCCGCGGGCACGTTAGCCTCCCGCCTGGGGAGAAACGTCCCCTCTGGAGGCTTGTGCTGCAGGCACCCCTTCTGGCTACCTCCGTGTCCCACGCCCGACTTTTCAGTTGGTCAGGCCCAAAGGACCTCCCAACGCGCCGAGCCGCGCTGCCCCGCGCCGCGGTGGGGAGCAGTTCAGGGGCGCGGCCAAGCTATGGAGGCGGCCCTGGCGGAAGTGGAGGCCCAGGAGGCGCAGGAGGAGGCCGCGGAAGTGCAGCCAGCCGAGGGCTTCAAGGCCGGGAAGACTCAGAAAGCCCAGAACGCAGGGAAGGCGAAGGAGAAACAGCCCATGGAGAAAAAGGTGTTTCGGAACATCTTGCCAACCACCCTGATCAACGTCCACCCTTTCCGAGATCTGCGACAAGCCTGGACCAAGGGCAATGCCTTAAGGTCTCTTTCCACGACGCTGCGAGAACGTGACGAAAATTTGGAGGGGCCCTGCGCCTTGGGTTGTATAGTTAGCCTCTGTTGTCAGCGTTTTAACAACATCGGCTGCTTCATGATTTTCTACTGCATCCTGCTCCTCTCTCAAGGTGAGCCTGAGGGGTGAGTGTCATTCTAGTGAGGGCAGAGGATGGGTGGCCCCTGGGTTGCCGACGCCTGAGGCAAGACAGAGAGGAAGAGTATGTGGTGGACTCGTGTGGTGTCGTGGCCCAGATTAGAGTTGTACTCTTTAAGGTCGTTTTCCAGTTATGTCCGGAATCGAAGCGTGTTGGCAGGGCATGGCGCCTTAGGTTTGGGCTCCTGTCATTGTCTCGCCTGGTAAGGCACCTGATTGACACAGTCCACCCTACGCATAGTGGGGGATACGGGTCTGATCTCCAGATAGACAGCTGAAGAGAAGGTGTTGATTGAGTCATTTAATGTTGATTGATCACCAGCTCTGAGAAGTGCTGGGTTGAATCACTTGAGGATGAAAATAAAGTTGAAAATTGTGTCTGCCATCACCAGGTTGTTTCTACATCTGCCCACAAGTTTGAAACCCACTGGCCAAGTCACTTCCTGACTGGGTCTTGTTTCCTTATATGTGAATTGAAGGGTTGGGGCAGGGTTTCAGACAGTTTATGTAAGAGACCCCAAACTCCAGGGTATTATTTTCGCCTACACAGTTTTAAGAAGAATTTCAATTTGAATGCCTTTAGGCAGGGCATGCATTTTCTGCTTGGCCACTGCCCTCACCAGTCACATTACACCTAGTCTCTTTACTAAACAATTTATACTGATAGCATTAGAATTTATCAAACTTGATCTCTTTTTGCTCTAAAATGCTTTGTCTAAATAAGTGCAATAAAAGGCTATATGTGATAAGAGCCATATGAAAGGAACAAATAAATAGTCATCAGTTTATTTGTCTTGAGATGACCGAAGAAGTTTATTGGAGCAAGCAGCATTTGATAAATATGTACAGTTCTAATAGCCAGGAATGTAGTTGAGGAGTATTTGCTGAATAAGAAATTAATGAATAAGTATTTTGATGAATAAACACTCAGATACAGGAAGGGCTCATTTCAGAAAGGCAAATGACAATAACTTTGGCTGGATCATGGTTTCCTTTAAGCATAATAAGGGGGTGGTTGTATTTATTTTACTTTATTCATTAATATCTTATCTAACATAGTGACTGAGGCAGAGAAGACATTCAATAAATATTTATTGAGTGCATAAATGAGTAAGATAAGAAGATAAGACAGGTCGTGGCCACCTTATGAAGGCCTTTAAGTACCATACCAGGAATTATGACAGGATACTGAGAGGTATTTTGTTGTTGTTGTTGTTGTTGTGTGCTGTCAAGTTGATTCCGATTCACAGCAACCCTATAGGGCAGAGTAGAACCGCCCTATAGGGTTTCCAAGGCTATAATCTTATGGAAGCAAATTGCCACATCTTTCTCCCACAGAGGGGTTGGTACTGCCAAACTTTCAGTTACCAGCCGAGCACTTGATTAACCACTGAGCCAGCAGGGCTCCTTAAGAGGTATTTAGCCTAGTGGTGTAGTGGTTAAGAGGTATGACTGTTAACTAAAAGGTTGGCAGTTCAAATCCACCGGCCACTCCTTGGAAACCGTATGGGGGTAGTTCTGCTCTGTCCTATAGGATTGCTATGAGTTGGAATCGACTTGATGACAACATTTTTTTTTTTTTAAATGTGCTGGGTGATAAGTAAGGCACTTTACAGGCATTATCTCACTTAATGTGATCCTCTTTTAGGTAAGTAATGAGGAGCCATTGAAGGTTTTTGAACAAGGGGTGAGAGTGATTGGTTATAAAACTCCACCACTTATTAACCGATTTCATATAGGTCATTCTTCAGTTTGGGTACAGTATTGGGTTTTCTATTCATGAACATGGTATATCTTTTCATTTATCCAGGTATCAATCAATAGATCTTGATTATTTTTAGTGATATTTATTTTTAGTAATATTTTACTGCGATTTCGGTGAAAGTTTACATAGCAAATTAGGTTCCCATTTGGCACTTTGATTACAAATTTTTCAGTGATATTACATTTTTCATAATGTGTCAGCATTCTCTTTAATTGTGTTCTTGTTGTTCTGTTTCCAGTGCTCTAAATTCCCTGCCCCTTTGTCTTTTCATCTTTGCTTTAGAGTAATTTTGGCCTCATATAGATGTTTTTTTAATGGAGCACTGTTGAAATTCTGAGGTCTGCTTGGGTCTATTTCTAGCCTCTCAAGTCTATTCCATTGATCTAATACATTTACACTTATGCAAATATTATATTGCGTTGCTCACTGTTGCTTTCTTTTATGTCTCGATCAGGTAGTGAAAGCCTTCTGACTTGGTTCTTTTTAAGAGTTGTTTTGGCTATTGTTTTAGTAATTTAGTGCTACTATAACAGAGATATCACAAATGGGTGGCTTTAACAAATAGAAATTTATTTTCTCACAGTTTAATAGTCTAGAAGTCCGAATTTAGGGTGTTGGCTCTAGGGGAAGACTTTGTCTCTTGGTCACCTGTAGAGGAAGGTCCTTGTCTCTTCTGAGCTTCTGCTCCTGGGAAATCTTCATGTGGCTTAGCATCTCTTTCCCTCATGTTTGCTTCTTTTGCTTACTTGTTTGCCATATTTTTACACAAATGCCTTCCATGTTTATTTACCAACACTGCCTTTCCCAGGGAGGTATTTTCCTAAGTGCCACTATGCCAATTTTTTTTTAAACATTGATGTTAAAAAATACATATATATTAGCAGGCTTACAAAAATATCTCAAGGGGGAGGGCGGCCTTGGGAAGCAGACATAGAAGGGCGTGTTATTTGCATAAAAATACGGTAATCTCTTTTATATCTCAAAAGAGATTGATTTAAGACACACCATACACTAATTCTGTTCATTAACATAACAGAGACAGCACACTCCCAAATGGGATTATAACAACAGGCGTAGAGGTTAGGATTTATAACACATATTTTGGGGGACACAATTTAATCCATAACATTCCACCCTTTGCTCCCCCCCCCCAAATTTATGTCCTTGCCACATGCAAAACACATTCACGCTATCACATCATCCTGAAAGTCTTAAATCAACTCCAAGTCCAAAATCTCATCTTCTGAATCATCTAAATCAAATATGAGTGAGACTTTAGGTGTATTCCATCCTGGGGCAAAATACCTCTTCATCTGTGAACCTGTGAAATCTAGAATACAAGTTATCTGTTTCCAAAGTACAATGGTGGGACAGGCACAAGGTAGACATTTCCATTATAAATGGGAGAAATTGGAGAGAAAGAAGGGATGACAGGCACCAAGCAAGTCCCAAACCTAGCAGAACAAATTACATTAGCTATCAAGGCTTGAAAATAATCCTCTGTTCTATAAGACCATCTGGGCAGTGACCCTACCCTCCAGACTCTGGGTGTTGGTCATGCCCTCTGGATTCTGGGTGGAGGGCCTTTGGCTCTGGGCTTCAGATCTGCCTTCCAGACTCTCTGGAATGGCAACTCTGCTACCTTGGCTTTAGGTGGTCCCACACTCCTAGTTCATGTCAGTGGTGACCCCACCCCCTTGACCCCAGAAGGCCCCATTCTTCTGCCCCTTGGGCATGGCGGCCCTTCCTCCTCAGCTTTGGGCAGCTCTATCCCCCTGGAACACCTTAATGGCAGCCCCACACTCCAAAACTGAGTTGGCGAAGATCTGACGCTTTGAAACCTAGGAGGCTGTGGCCCCACCCCTTGAGATCCAGGAAACTGTGGCCCCACCCTTGGAAATGGAAAAGGCCTTGCTTCCCATGCTCCTTCCAACAGTTCTGCTGATCTCTGAGCTGCTCCAGGAATGGTCCCTTTCTTTTCTTGGAGGACAACAAATGTAGCGCCTTTGGCCTGTTTCCTGCCTAGAGTCCAAAAGGCAGATAGTGTTCTTTCCTTTTGTTCTTTCTTTGTCCCCTTCAGTCTAAAATGATGGGTTTTTGCTGTGGTAGTTGGTTAGATCTATCAACCACAGACTTAATCTGTTTAGCCAAAGATTGTGTAGCCACATCTTTGGTAAACATTCTAGGACACATGTCCTTAGTTTGTACAATGCAACTTTGCTGAATTCATTTATTAGCTCTAGTAACTTTCTTGTGCATTCTTTGGGATTTTCTACATATATGATTATGTTGTCTAAGAATAGAATAGTTTTACTTCTGATCTGGATGCCTTTTATTTCTTTTTCTTGCCTAATTGCTCCAGTTAGAGCTTTAAGTACAATGTTGAATAGCAGTGATGATAGCAGACATCCTTGTCTTGTTCTTGATCTTAGGGTGAAAGCTTTCAGTCTTTCACCATTGAGTATGATGTTGGCTGTGGGTGTTTCATAAATGCCTTTTATTATATTGTGGAATTTTTCTTGTAGTCCTAGTTTTCTAAGTGTTTTTATGATGAAAGTGTGTTGGATTTTATCCTCACAATCACTAGCACATTCAAGTCTATTGTTGCATCTACTGTGCCAGTCCATCTCACTGAGGTTCTCCTACCCCTCATTGGCACTTTATTTCACCAAACACAATATCCTCTTCTACTGATGATCCTACCTGATGACATGTGTCCAAAGCAAGCAAATTGGACAATGTTCTGTTGTGATCCATAAGGTTTCACTGGCTAATTTTTGGAAGTAGATCACCAGGCCTTTCTTCCTAGTGTGTGTCAGTCTGGAAACTTTGCGGAAACCTGTCCACCATGTGTTACTGTACCGGTATTTTAAATACCAGTGGCATAGCTTCTGGCATCACAGCAACACACAAGCCACCACAGTACAACAAACTGACAAATGGTGAAGGGAGTTACAAATGTCAACTGTGGCCTCATAATAATTTAGAGACATAAAAACTTTAGCATCTGCGGGTTTTCTCTTATTTGTTTTCTGTGTATACAGACATACACATAAACATTTATCTACACATTTATGTGTGTTTATTTGTGTTCCAATTCTTCCTCTTTTCCCTTCCTCTTTCTCTTCCTATTTTATAAAACTATATTGTGGTAGACAGCCTTACAAAATAGTCTCTAGGGTATAGAATTTCCTTGAATTAGAAAAGGAATTAACATCCCACCCTCAGAAATGGATATAGTTACTGATAGGACTTATTTCTTGCCTTGGCCATTATGCTCCTTGGCCACATATTGAGAGTTGATGAAAATTCTCCCAGGTGCAGCAAAGTTTTTCTTCTTGTTTCCTGCTGGCCTTAGCCTGTTAAACTAGTTGTGTCTCTAAGTTTGGCTTGTGGTTTCCTTGGCAATTCGATTACCTCATAAATTTAGTAGGCTTGTGATGTTTGTTTAATTATTGATTTACAATTTAGTCGTCATGGTAAAAAAAAAAAAACAAAAAACAGAAAACCCCACATTCTTCAGGTTTTTGGCTGAACTAGAAGAAGAATTAACATTACTCTGAGATGGATATGGTGACAGAATGGACTATATGTGTCTCCCTATTTGGGGAAAGAGTGAGAGCATCTTGTTTTGTAAGAACGATGATCGAATCGTCTTAAGCAGAAGCGTACTGCTGCTGCTGTTACTGATTTGATCTGGAAGTTTAAATATGGGAAGAAGAGAGGAAATGCATCCTGAGGAGTCTAAGGTGTGCACTCTGCCAGTTATTTGTCTGTTGGCCATAAACTCCCCTGCTGCCTTTCTGGACTCACAAGACTCGCAGCCTGTAAACTACATTTCCCAAATTCTCTTGCCAGCTGGCTTTCACTTAGATGTTGCTAGTGAGTGGCAGTGGTAGTATATTTGAAAGGGGACAAAGGGGCAAAGGGGCGTCTTTTTTCTTTCTTTTTTTTAAAAATCAGTTTCTGGTGGTGTTCTTGGCAGCTGCAACAGTGCTTAGTGAGTTTAATCTCCTGGGTTTATGCTGAGTAATAGATGCAGTTCCATCAGTAGCAACAGTGGATGATTCAGCAGCACAGTGTTTTTGGGCTCTGGCTCTGGTGACACAAGAGCAACAGAAGCATCAGGTGATTGAGCTGGCTCTGATGGCATTAGCAGGAGTGTGGGCTTCTGGCTTCCTGCAAAAGAGGTCGTGCTTATAGTTCCAGCAGCAGCACTGGCAGCAGTCCATGTTCCAGCAATTTCGCTGGCATAGATGTCATGAGTTTTGATTAGTAACTATTTTCCCTTTTCATTTCAACAAATATACCACTTTTGTAATCAATCCCTATATTAATTTTTTTTCTGTTTGAAACAGTGTGATTTTTTCCCTAGTAGATGCTGAGTGATAGGGATGCATATAATATGATACCATTTATTTAGCATTGAAGAACATGACAAGCAATACTCTCTATTGTTTAAGGATTTATAATATACACATTATTATAAGAGTATTAAAAAGGCACAGAAATGGTAAATACCAAATATAGGATACAGTTATGGAAAAGAAGTAGAAGAATGTGTTTGGGGTAGTACACACTGGGCTTCAACTATTTTGATAATGTTTTATTTCCTATTCTGGATGATAGATAAATATTCATTGTATTATTCTTTATTTGTTTTTTATAATCAAAATATAATACATTAGCATAAAGATAAGTACTAATTGAGATGATTAAAACAATCAGTATTATTCAGTAAATTACTCATAGAGGTAGTTGTTAAAAAAAACCAAAAAAAAAAAAAAACCTTCAGAAATTAGATTAACCAGTATTTCATACAAGTTAAGGACTATTAGAAGGAGTTCCTGGGTGGTGCAAACAGTAAGTGCTTGACTACTAACTGCAAGGTTGGCAGTTCAAATTCACCAGAGATGGATTGGAAGAAAGACCTAGTGATCTACTTTCAAAAGATTACAGCTATTGAAAACTCTATGGAGCACAGTTCTACTTTGACATACATGGATTCACCATGATACATAATTGACTCGATGGCAACTGGCAAACTGGTAAGGACTGTTAGAATTCTTATTTGCTTATAGGTCTTAAACATTCAGAATAATGCAAAATAAACTTAAATCGGTAAATAAAGTTTTGATTTTTTAATGATTGTAATGATCTATTAAAACGCTCATTATTGCTTTCTTTCTTTTTTACATTTTAGGTATCATATTTGGTCTTGTAGATCTGAGCATAGATCATTTTCAGAAGGACTATCATCTGAAAGCCATTGAGAGTTTACTGATATCATTGACCTATGATATTTCATCTTGTCTGGTAGCAATATTTATAGCATACTATGGAGGGAGAGGAAACAGACCAAGATGGATTGCAGTTTCCTCCATTTTAATAGGAATGGGATCACTTTTATTTTCTTATCCATACATTACTGGGGGAGATTATCAACTGAAGACAGAAATTGAAGGTAAGACTTTAAAATATAGTGTCATTCATCAAATGAACTTTTATTTAAATCACTGGTTCAAAGAACATAGAATAGACTGTGATACTTGTCTGTCTGTTCATCCATTCATCTATCCACCCATCTCTATTTATATGACCAAGTTTATTAAATTAATTAGAGTTCCTGAATAAACATTTATGGCATTCTTGCATCTTCTCATGATCATACATGCTTTCATGTAAAAGATGGGCCTAGGATGGAGAAAAGAGAATATTTTAGGATAATTATTTTATGGAGTTGTTTTTCTTTTAGCCATTTTCATACATAGTATAAATCTCATATATATTATGAATCTTTAGTAATTCTTTATATCTACAACGTTTTTAGATTAATCCGTGTATTCTGACTTCAACATGCACACACAATACAAATGTAAATCCACACACACAAAAAGAAAGGTCAGACTTTTTCTAATTACTTCTGCCATTTCAGTATGGGAGCCACCCTGTAATATAGTACTTTGAATATTAAAATGTTGGTGGCTTTTTCAATTTGTTCATTTTTTTTTCCTCCAATTTATTCAACAGCCTTCTCACTCCTCACACTTGTTGTAGTTAGGTGCAGTTGAGTTGGTTCTGACTCATAGTGACCCTGTGTACGACAGAGTGTAACACTGCCTGATCCTGCACCATCCTCACAATCGTTGTTATGCTTGAGCCTGTTGTTGCAGCCACTGTGTCAATCCATCTTGTCGAGGGTCTTCCTCTTTTTTTTTTTTTTGACTGACCCTCTATTTTACCAAGCATGATGTCCTTCTCCAGGGTCTGGTCCCTCCTGATAACATGTCCAAAGTATGTGAGATGAAGTCTCACCATTCTTGCTTCCAAAGAGCATTCTGGCTGTAGTTCTTCCAAGACAGATTTGTTTGTTCTTCTGACAGTCTGTGGTTTATTCAGTATTCTTGGCCAACATCATAATACAAAGGCATAAATTCTTCTTCAGTCTTCCTTATTCATTGTTCAGATTTCATATACATATGAAGCTATTGAAAACACCATGGTGTGGGTCAGGCACACCTGAGTCCACAAATTGACATCTTTGCTTTTTAACACTTTAAAGAGGTCTTTTGCAGCAAATTTGCCCAATGCAGTGGGTCATTTGATTTCTTGATGTTGCTTCCATGGGTGTTGATTTTGGATCCAAGTGAAATGAAATCCTTGACAACATCATGGTAAGTTCTATTTTACTGATAGAATACTTCAAAATTGCAACTGGAGGCTTGAATTTTCTATTCAATTCTTTCAGTTTGAGAAATGCCATGTGTGTTCTTCCCATTTGGTTTTCTAACTATATGTCTTTGCACATGTCATTATAATATTTTACTTTTTCTTCTTGAGCTGCCTTCTTTTACTTCATTATTTCTTCCATTTACTTTAGCTACTCTACGTTCAAGAGCAAGTTTCAAAATCTCTTCTGACATCCATATTGGTCTTTCTTTCTGTCTTTTTAATGACCTTTTGCTTTCTTCATGTATGATGTCCTTGATGTCTTCACACAACTCGTCTGGTCTTCAGTCATTAGTGTTCAGTGTGTCAAATCTATTCTTGAGATGGTCTCCAGATTCAGATGGGATATATTCAAGGTCGTACTGTAGCTCTCATGGATTGTTTTTTCTTCAGCTTCAACTTGAACTGGCATATGAGCAATTGATGGTCTGTTCCACAGTTGGCCCCTCGCCTTGTCCTGACTGATAACATTGAGCTTTTCCATCTTCTCTTTCCACAGATGTAGTTGATTTGATTATTGTGTATTCCATCTGATGAAGTCCAAGTGTATAGTTGCTGTTTATGTTGTTTAAAAAAGGTATTTGCAATGAAGAAGTCGTTGGTCTTGCAAAATTCTATTATGCGATCCGGTGTTGTTTCTGTCATCAAGGCCATATTTTCCAACTACCAATCCTTCTTTTTTGTTTCCAACTTTTGCATTCCAATTACCAGTAATTACCAATGCATCTTGATTGCATGTTTGATCTTCAATTTCCTCATCTTTGGCCTTAGTGGTTGGTACATAAATTTGAATAATAGTCCTATTAACTGGTCGTCTTTGTAAGCGTGTGGAAATTATCCTATCACTGACAGCACTGTACTTCAGGATAGATCTTGAAATGTTCTTTTTGACAATGAACATGACACCATTCCTCTTCAATTTGTTGTTCCTGGTGTAGTAGACCATTTGATTGTCTAATATAAAATGGCCAATACCAGTCCATTTCAGCTCATTAATGCCTAGAATATCAATCTTTATGTGTTCCATTTCATTTTTTGACGATCTCCAATTTTCCTACTCTCATACTTCGTACATTCGATGTTTAGATTATTAATAGATGTTTGCAGCTGTTTCTTCTCATTTTGAGTTGTGCCACATCAACAAATGAAGGTCCCTAAAGCTTTACTCTATCTATGTCATTAAGGTTGACTCTACTTTGAGGAGGCAGCTCTTCCCCAGTTGCATTTTCAGTGCCTTCCAACCTGAGGGGCTCATCTTCTGGCACTATATCAGACAATGCTCTGCTGCTATTCATAAAGTTTTCACTGGCCAGTATTTTCAGAAGTAGACTGCCAAATCGTTCCTAGTCTGTCTTAGTCTGGATGCTCTGATGAAACCTGTCCACTGAGAGTGGCCTTGCTAGTATTTGGAATACTGGTAGCAAAGCTTCCAGCATCACAGCAACATGCAAGTCATCATAGTACAACAAACTGACAGACATTTGGTAGATGGAATCTATAATTTCTCCTATATGTACATGTTCACATTCTTTACTTCTTCTTCCTGTTAAAATGGATAAGATGTCCTCCTGCTCAACATCCTATGCTCTCTTGTCTCCCAGGGAACATTCTCCATTGGTAATTTCTCTCTTCTTCATGCAAATTCTCCCTCTTTACTGGTTCCCACTCATTAGCATTTAAATTGCTCAAGTTCTTCCCATTCTTTAAAACAACATCAGCAACAATAACAATAAACACAATCCATACTCTTCTTTTTGTCATTTTGTACAATCTCCTCAGATTCACAGGCAAATTTCTTGAAAGAATTGCCCATGCTTCCTGACTTTCTCTCTTATTCTTTTTCCAGCCTACTTTAAGATGGCATCTGCCTTAAACACTGTAACAGAACTATTTTCACCAAGTCACTAATATAACTCATGTTATTTGATATAATGAAAACTTTTTGTTATATTTCTTGAACTATCACCAGTACTTTTCAGTTCTGACTGAACCTGTGTTCTAGAAGCTTTGGGGTCTAAAATGGGAAATTATTTAATCAGAATGACACAAAGTTAATGTGCAGATTGCTCCTAGAACTAAACCCAGGAGGTAATCTTGATGTTCAGATAATCCAGAACGTTAGAAACACTTTTATGTCAGAGTTAAAAGTCAGGGGTACCAGATACCATATTTAAGAGGAATGTATGGTTTTGTGTGTGTGTTATATAAATGTGTATGTGTACACACATACTTATAGACATATCAGTATGTGTTTATAGAAATATGAGTATGTGTGTATACCTAAAATAATGTGTTCATTTTATATTTTGGTTTATAATATGTGCATTTTTTCCAGTATTCCCGAAACTTTTCTTTTATCATGGCAGTTTTCTGAGAACATGATTGATTGTAGTACTACTATGTTCAGTGTTAATGAAACAACTAAAAGAAAAAAGCATAATGATAGTAATAGCTCTTAAAGGGTAGATATTTGATAAAGGATACTGCATATTTGTTGTTTGTTTAAATATTGAACTCACTTTGCAAAAATACAATTGTCTTTTCAAAAGATATCTGCCAAGCAACGAAGGTTATAAGTACTTGCCAGGATGCCCTACCATCATTCCAATCAAAATATACATCATTCTTCGTCTTTGGGCAGATCGTGCAGGGAATAGCAGGAATACCTCTTTATATCCTTGGAATAACCTTTGTTGATGACAGCGTTGACAGATACTCATCTGGTACCTATCTAGGCAAGTTGTTTTTTCCTCTAACATGATTGACCCGTTTTTAATTTTCACCGAACTTTTATGTGGCGGTGTGGCTATCTAAACTGATATAGAAGTGCCAGCTATTGGCTCTTATGATAAGTTTGTAATAAATGATAACTAGAATGCTTAACTTCAAAATCACACAGCTCCTAATTCAGAGGACCTGCTTGAATTTTGAAATTTTGGATGAAGGGATCTGAGGATCACTGAAAATATGTAGAGCAAGAGAAAAAAACACACAGTTTCTTAAGTAGTAAAAACGATACTCTTTCGCCACACACTTTCGTAAGAACTGCTGACCTTTTGGTAGCAGGTGAATGCTAAACCACTGGGCCACCAGGGCTCCTACTGCAAAATAGATAAAGAAAAAAAGAAAAGGACCATATAGACAATATATATGTATACACCTACTCCTCACTTATCAACTATCTCATCATCTGACATTTCACATTTATGACAATAGTAAAAAATCTACTATCCGTATATTTTGCACATTAATGACATATGTCTGGCTGTAACCTTTCATGATCAGTGGGACAGACAGTGCCCACCCACATTTTCCGCATCTTGGGTCCAACAGGACATGTATATCCCACGTAATATTTTGTGCTCTGATATGGTCATCCTCCATTTTCACATAACGCCAATTTTCGCATAATGACAGGTCTTTGGAACCTAACCGTGTTGATAAGTGAGGAGTGGGCATATATATATGTGTGCGTGTGTGTGTGTATCCATGTCTCATATGTCAGTTTGTTGTACTGTGGTAGCTAGCGTGTTATGATGCTAGAAGCCATGCCACCGGTATTACAAATACTAGTAGGATCATCTACAGTGGACAGGTTGCAGTAGAGCTTCCAGACTAAGACAGAACTAGGAGGGAACACCTGGTGATCTACAGGCAGTCCTTGACGTATGACGTATTTGAGTTATGACAAACTATGCTTACGACAGTCCGTTTTTTTTTTCTTTTTGTACATCTTATTGTTACAAGTATGTACTATATACAGTGTTGCAGCATGTAATTTGCTGATGTTATTCTAAGATGTTCACTTGCAGATGTTCAGTTTTATGATTTACTGTTCAAAACACTGCCATATAGATTTAGTTTTCTAAACTAAAACAGGGGCTTCCATTGCTTGAGAACATGGACCCAAACGCTGATCGCTTTGCTGAAGTCAGTAGGCAGATTCAGGAAGCTGTGGGGTGTTACCTCAAAATACCTGTTAAACCCATTGCTGTTGAGTCGATTCCAACTCATAGTGACCCGATAGGACAGAGTAGAACTGTTGCATAGGGTTTCCAAGGAGCAGCTGGTAGATTTGAACTGCTGATCTTTCGGTAGCAGGTGAATGCTTAACCACTGGGCCACCAGGGCTCCTACTGCAAAATAGATAAAGAAAAAAAGAAAAGGAGCATATAGACAACGATCACTAATTTTCTAATTAGAAATGCCATCCCCATTCCCAGGATAACCCAGATGATCCACAGCCTTCCATAAGTGGAGTTATAACTGCGCCTGACAAAATGCCAATGTAGTCCAACTCTTCTTCATCGTCAGAGTAAATTTTTATGATTGGTGTATTTTTTTATGTACAAATTAAAATCTATATGTAAGTTTATATGTAATATTCCAACCCCCAAAGGCAAATAAAGATCGAATATGTAAAGATACTGATAATAAAAGGCAATCATAATGAAAACTAACAAAAAAAACCCGAGGTTTTCAACTTACATCAGAACCAACTTACGACAGAGTTGTTGGAAGGGAATCTGGTTGTAAGTCAGGGACTTCCTGTACTTCTAAAAAAAATGTAGCCAGTGAAAACCCTATAGATAACACAGAAAATTGTCTGATATAGTGCTGGAAGATGAGCCCCTCACGTAGGAAGGCACTCAAAATACGACTGGGGAAGAGCTGCCTCCTCAAAGTAGAGTCGACCTTAATGACATAGGTAGAGTAAAGCTTTCAGGACCTTCATGTGCTGATATGGCATGACTCAAAATGAGAAGAAACAGTTGCAAACATCCATTAGTAATTGGAATGTGGAAAATACGAAGTATGAATCAAGGAAAATTGCAAGTCATCAAAAAAATGAAATGGAGCACATAAAGATGGATATTCTAGGCATTAGTGAGCTGAAATGGACTAGTATTGGCCATTTTGAATTGGGTAATCATACATTCTACTATGCTGGGAATGGCAAATTGGAGAGAAATGGTGTTGCATTCACCATCAGAAAGAACATTTAAAGGTCTATCCTGAAATACAATGCTGCTGTTAGTGATAGGATAATATTCATAATGTTCAGATAATATTCATATGATAGGATAATATTCATATGTCATTTGACTATTATTCAAACTTATACACCAACCACTAATGCCAAAGATGAAGAAACTAAAGATTTTTACCAAATTCTCCAGTCAGAAATTGATGAAACATGCAATCAAGATTCATTGATAATTACTGGTGATTGGAATGTGAAAGTTGGAGACAAGAAGGATCAGTAGTTGGAAAATATGGCCTTGGTGATAGAAATGACACTAGACATTGTATGATAGAATTCTGCAAGACCAACAACTTATTTATCAGAAATATCTTTTTTCATCAAGATAAGTGATGACTATACACGTGAACCTTGCTGGATGGAATACACAGGAATCAAATCAACTACATCTGTGGAAAGAAATGATGGAGAAGTTCAATATCATCAGTCAAAACAAGGCCAGGGGCTGACTGTGGAACATACCATCAGTTGCTCATATGCAATTTCAAAGTGAAGTTGAAGAAAATTAAAACAAGTCCATGAGATCTAAAGTACGATCTTGAATATATCCCACCTAAATTTAGAAATCATCTCAAGAATAGATTTGATGCATTGAACACTAATGACCAAAGACCAGAAGAGTTGTGGGATGACATCAAGGACACCATACATGAAGAAAGCAAAAGATCATTAAAAAGACAGGAAAGAAAGAAAAGACCAAAATGAATGTCAGAAGAGACTCTGAAACTTGCTTTTGAATATAGAGTAACGAAAGTGAATGGAAGAAATAGTGAAATAAAAGCTGAATAGAAGATATCAAAGGGTGGCTAGAGAAGACAAAATAAATTATTATAATGAACTGTTCAAAGACCTGGAGATAGAAAACCAAAATAGAAGAACACTGTTGGCATTTCTCAAGCTAAAATTCGAACTGAAGAAAAAATTCAAGCCTTGAGTTGCAGTATCAAAGAAGTGTATGGACAAAATACTGAACAACTCAGGAAGCATCAAAAGAAAACGGAAGGACTGCAGAGAGTCACTGTACCAAAAAGAATTGGTCGATGTTCACCTATTTCAGGAGGTAGCATATAATCAGGAACCAATGGTATTGAAAGAAACAGTCCAAGCTTCACTGAAGGCATTGGTGAAAAACAAGGCTACATGGAGTTATGGAATACCAATTGAGATGCTTCAACAAATGAATGTGATGCTGGAAGTGCTCACTGATTTATACCAAAAAATTTGAAAGAGACCTGCCTGTCCAACCAACTGGAAGAGATTCATATTTGTACCCATTCCAAAGAAATGTGATCCAACACAATGTGGAAATTATTGAACAATATCATTAATACCACATGCAAGCAAAATTTTGCTGAAGATAATTCAAAAATGGCTACAACAGTACCTGAACAGGGAACTGCCAGAAATTCAGTCTGGACTCAGAAGAGGTTATGGAACAAGGGATATCACTGCTAATGTCAGATGGATCTTGGCTGAAAACAGAGATAACCAGAAAGATGTTTACCTGTGTTTTATTGACTACACAAAAGCATTCAGTGGTGTGGATCATAACAAATTATGGATAACACTGTGAAGAATGGGAATTCCAGAACACTTGATTGTGCTCATGCAGAACCTATACATAAACCAAGAGGTCGTTGTTTGAACAGAACAAGGGGATATGTGTGGTCTAAAATCTGGAAAGGTGTGCATCAGGGTTGATGTGTCTTTCCCTATATTTATTCATTCTGTACACTGAGCAAATAATCTGAGAAGCTGGAGTATATGAAGAAGAATGGGGCATCAGGATTGGAAGAAGACTAATTAACAACCTGCAATATGCAGATGACACAGCCTTGCTTGCTGAAAGTGAAGAGGACTTTAAGGACTTATTGATGAAGTCAAATACTACCACCTTCAGTACGGATTACACCTGAATGTGAAAAAAACAAAAATCCTCACAACTGGACCAAAAAGCAACATCATGATAAATAGAGAAAATATTGAAATTGTAAAGGATTTCATTATACTTGGGTCAACCATCAATGTCCATGAAAGTGGCAGTCAAGAAATCAAATGACTTATTGCATTGTTCAAATCTCTGCAAAAGACCTCTTTCAAGTGTTAAAAAGTGAAGATGTTACTTTGTGGACTAAGGTCTCCTTGACCCAAGCCATGGCATTTTTAATCACCTCATATGCATGCGAAAGCTAGACAATAAAAAAGTAAGACTGAAGAAGAATTGATGCATTTGTATTAATAGTGTTGACGAAGAACAATGAATATACCATGGAATGCCAGAAGAATGAACAAATATGTCTTGAATGCTCGCTTACTTTGAACACGTTATTGGGAGGTACCAATCCCTGGAGAAGGACATCATGCTTTGTAAAGTACAGGGTGAGTGAAAAAGAAGATCTCAATGAAATGGAATGACACAGTGGCTGCAACAATGGGCTCAAACATAGCAACGATTGTGAGGATGGCATAGGAATGGGCACCATTTCACCCTATTGTACATGGGGTTTTTATGAGTCAGGACTGACTCAATGGCACCTACCAATAGCGATATATATATATATCAAACTATGTAAACTGTAGTCATTTTCTCTAGGAAAAAAAATCTAAAGTTACTGAATGGAATTGCTTGAGTAGTTGTGTGCTTAAACTTTGGAGATGGAGGTGGGAAGTTGCCATCATTATCATAAGGGGAATGGAGACATAATTTTGTGCCACCTCTGTACTAGATTCATCATCACCTCTGTCCTATAATAATCATCACCTTTCTAAGCCCTTTACATACTAACTTAATTGTTTTTGGGCCTCTCATATTTTGAAATTCAGTGAAATCATAATCTTGCATTTCCTATCGGGAGAGATAGGATATACTATTTAATTTGACATACTATACTGTGCCCTATTTATGTCTTATGCTACTGTAGCCTACAGTGAGTGACCCTGGGATATATCTCAGAATAATCTGCAGTTTCTTATGTAGAAATAGACTCTGGTTCTCGTAGATCATCTACATATACAGGTTATCTAATTATCATCTTTGAAAAAAATTTTATAGTTGTTTTTATATACTTACTGGGGAGGTGATTTAAAAGAAAGTCTCAAGTTGCATCAAAATAATTATTTTCCACCAGAGATAAGAAAAGTCATGTCAAAAAACTAAAATAGCAGATATCCATGTTCCTGTTTGCTTTTAGAGTCTTTTTTTTTAGTGATTTATTAGCGTTGGCTGACAGTAGCGACAGATACCAGTTTGTTTTACTCTTGGTTCTACTGAATGAAATTAGTACACACATCGGTACACTGCAGAGAAAAGCTTGCATTATTGCCACCTCCCCCCATTCTGGCAGCCAGGGTGAAGCTAGCATTAAAGTATCATCTAGCTATAGAACCATATTTTAAAATGAAGTAAGGTATAATGAACTGATATTTATATAAAAAATCCACGTTTATTCATAGTACATTAAATATATAAATTAAATAGGGTTTAATCAAGTATATATTCAAATTATCTGATTTTCCTAATATGTGCATTGGGTAATGTGCTATGAAAAATGTTAAAAAATAATCTATTTCAGTCACTTAATTTTTATCATTTTATGACAGTGCTATCTCATCTACTTGTTGATGTTCAATATTTGTTTTACAGGCCTTGGAGAAGCTTCGACAATGACCGGATATGCTTTGGGCATTGCAATAGGAGCACCACAAGTTCAGGCCTCTGTGAACAGTACTTCCTTAAACAAGCAAGCCATTTCTCTTTCCTTTTTTTTTTTTTTGGTGTTGATTGCATTAATGATATGGAGACATCTATCTGTGTAAAATGTTTATTAGATAGCTACAGTAAGTTATAAATATATATTGTTAAAGCTGTGTTTTAAGTGTGTATTGGGGCGTAGTATCATCAGTGACGACTCCTTGCCTTTTCTAGTTCTATATTGAGATGATAGAGTTAATGAAGGAGATATAATTTATCATCACTGGAAAATGGAGAAGTCACCCTACATTTCTGAAACTGGATTCATATAAACGTAGAACAGATAGAAACTGAGATACAGAAGCCAACTAGTTCCTGTTATTTGCTCCCATCTAGCTAATTAGTTCAATAGTTATTCATTGCCACAAATACTACCTGCCAGCTTTCCTGACAGCTCAGCTGGGTTCTTGCTTTGCTACAGTGAAGTTTTAGTGAGTGCCAGATGATCATCATAAAGGGGGATAGATTAGGTGTCAGGGAATAAGCTGTGTGCTTCTCTAAATTCAGTCTCTATCCTTCTACACCCTTCTCTAGCCCTCCTCTCTGCTCTGGGATGCTGACCTGTATTGACTGCCTCAACATACTTCCCTGAGCTCTGGGTTTCAGTTGGGTTTAGCCAATGAGTGGCACTGGCAGAACAGAGCAAGAGCAGAATAAGGGCATTTATCCTCCCAGCTCTTTTCCTGTGGGGCTGTACCCAGGTTAACTATATCCTTCTGAAGGTCAGAGCTCCTGTCAAGATGCCCTCTGTATTTATTGAACACTGTTCCACTTGGTAGTCAGGCTTGTGGTAACAGCTTGCTACTGTTGCTAGCTTCAGAATTATGCACTATCTCTCATTCATTTCCCTGAACTCTGCCCGCACTACTGAAGATAGTCCCTTATCACTCTCTTCAAATTATCTAGTGTGAGTATACTGTTTCCTGGCAGGAAAAGCAGTATCAGAAATGGCAATAAGAAATAGACTTCCCAAATTGGATTATAGAAATTGGTTGCTCACGTATTTGTGAGTACAGATAATCTCCCTGTTGGGGAAAATTGGACACAGTTACTAAAATTATCATAGTTTGTTGCAAGGGAGGGCACGACATTGGAAAATTAAATGGCTATAGCATTTAATAGGAATTCCTGGGTGGTTCCAACGGTTAAAATACTTGGCTACTAACTGAAAGGCTGGACGTTTGAATCCACAGAAGTGCCTCAGAAGAAAGGCCTGGCAACTACTTTTGAAAAATCAGCTATTGAAAACCTCATGGAGCACAGTTTTACACTGGAATCGACTAAACAGCAACTGGTTTAGCATTTGATAATTCAATGACAAAAGTGATTTTAAAGACTTCTGGTTCATATGGCTTCTTTTGACAATACTAGAGAACATTCTCTGGGGAAACGAAACATTGAAGGGTGTGAATGTTCGAAAAGACTGGCCTTTTGCCTGCATTAGATACTCCAGAGTGGCCTTGAAATACAGAAAATCCTTCTAGTGGTCACAATTTCAGGCTGGTTGTGGACTTAGCATAGAAGGAGAAGTGGCCTTAGGTATCTATACTGTTTTATGGTCAATGGATTGGTTGGATAGTCAGGCCTTCTTTAAAATCAAAATTGGAAAATAGATGACAAGGATAACACATGTGAGTGGACCTCTTGAAATGGGCACATGAAGAGGACATTCACTTTGGAAGAGGCTCTAAAATCAGTTGGACAAAATGACCCATCGTGTGGATTCCAGTCAGCTTCCTTTAAAAAAAAAAAAACACTCCGGTTCTTCTTCATGAAAAAGTAGCTATAGTTATAGGAATAGCGACTTTGCATGGGCTCCACAACACAGACTTCCTCTTACCAAGGACAATATCTGATCAAGAATATTCCTCAGGATTTGACTGTTGTTCCTGTCAATAGCAGAGGCCAACAGTGAGTCCTGGAAAAAGCTGGCCATCTGTTGTCAGGTTGATTTCATCAGGCCTCTTTTAACATAGAAAGTACAGTGATATGCTTTTATAGGGAAAAATATTCTGGGTAGGGTTTTTTCTTCTCTGCCATTAGTGCTTTTTCTAGCATCAACATTCACAGACTTGCAAATGCCTAATTCATCCCTGTGGTATCTCACACAATATTGCTTCTGATTAGGGAACATTTAACAAGACAAAGGAAGTGTGATAGTATGACAATTACAGAATTCATTGGTCTTACTCTGTCCCATTATCTATATAAACTGCTGGCTTGATAGAATGGTATAATGATTATGGTGCCTTCAACTGTTATGGTGACACCCATCTCTGAAGTTGGGTTACTGTCTGCAAGATGTGTTATATACTTTAATCTAGAAGTCTATATGTTGCCTTCTCCCCCATTTCCTGGATGCATGGATCTGGGGACCAGGGTGTGGGAGTGGACCATCTCACTTTTACATGAAGTATTCCACTGGAAGAATTTTTTACTTTCATTTCCTGCAACCTTGAGCTTGATGTGTTTGGAGGGCCTTGCTCACAAGGGGGGAATACTTCCACCATTGAACTTGGTCATGATTTTGATTCATCAGAAGCTTCGGCTTTTCTCAGCCATTTTGGGCTCCTAATGACCTGGAATCAATAGGCAGGGGAGGGGGTCACATTGCTGACCAGTGCTATTTATCAAATTCCTGGTGGAGGGGAAAGGGTTACTGCTACATAACTGAAAGAAGGATGACTTTGTTTGAAATTTACTTGGTTCTTAATATTCCTATGCCCAATAGTTCTCTTCACTGGAGAACTGCCTCATCTCATTAAAAGTCAGTACCATTAAGTGCTCAGAGCCTTAAGTTTGGGTCACCTCATCAGGTGAAGTATCCTCCCTAACCAAGGTGCTTACTGAGAGTCATGGATAGAATAGGTGGTGGAGGAATGGAGATGTGATGGTAAGTATAGACCTTGTGACTAGCTAATGAGGCTGGAACAGTGGCAACAAGTTTTTATGTTAATTTTATTCTATATTTTTTCTTCTGCCGCTTTATACGATGAGCCCTACTGATTGTAACTTTCTTAGATTGGGTTCACATCGAAGTAGAACTTGAGACAAGGATATTAGTGCATGCAGTTGTTTTGAGTTATGATACTGGGAAGCATGGTAGGGTAGTGGGGAAGTGAGCAAAGGAAGCCAATGAAGTAAGTGTTCATTATACTGAGAAGATTACTGCCTTGGGCAAGTGTGCCTCAATCTCACTGTAGAACTCTGGGAGATGATGTAGGACATGCCTCAGAGTTATCCCAACAGCAGCTCAAAGGAGCAGGGATGTGTATCCATTAACTGCTGGTATTCCTTTGTTGAGGGCTCATCCTGGGGTTACTCTTAACTCCTGGGCATTTCTGACTAAGAACAGAGTCCTTGATTTTCAAAGCTGTCTATTCAGTGAGCATGGGAATAGTGAATGCAGAACTAAAGCAATGTAATTGGGACACAGCAATGTTTTAGGTTTTAATTGAGAGTATAATTGAAGTTACAATCTTGTGATTTTTAAAATAATTATTGGGAATTAGTGTGTATCTCATGAATTTTTTGTTTTTCTTCACCTAGAAAAGAGAAAGAATAGATACTGAGGCACAAAAGTGATGGGTTGTGTTAGATCTCTTCTGTTTGCTGGTAGAGTTCCACTCTCTATCCTTATCTACCCTGCTCTGTATCCCCAGAGACTGACCCACAAGGACAACACCAATGGGCTTCTTACCGTCTGGTTTCCTTTTAGGTTTGGCTTATGTAGGGCACTGGCAAGAGATCTGAGGGCATGAGTAGTGTGAGGTCTGGATAGTCATCCTACTCTCCTGAATCTTCATGGTTGGCTGCACCAGTTTAATAAAAGCCACACCTCCTCTCCACTGATCCTCTTGATACAACTCTCTGTATGGTTTACCTAACTTTTATCTCCTCTTGTCTCTTCAGGCCTGGAGATGGTAGTGTTTCTTTGCTGTTGCTAGCCCCAGGGTACAGCTGTTCCTGTAGATTTCTCTAGATCCAGCTTACATCACTTAAATAGCACTTTTTATTAAATTGTATCCATAAATTACCTAAAGTGAGTGCATCATCAGGACGACAAATCATATTATATATATGTATATATTAGCCATCTGTATTTAAATTTCAATTTACTACTTATTTCCTTTTCCTTTTTTATATTGGCAGTTTCTTCCTTAAAGATTTATAAAAGTTCTTCATGTATTATAAATACTAATTGTTTATTAGATATATGACAAATAATCTTTCCCAATCTATCTTTAACTTTGCTATGGTATCTTTTATTATACAAAATTTGAAAAGTTTAATATAGTCATATATGTCAATATTTTTTCCTTTCATAAAAGTTTAGGTACCTATCTTGCTTATGAAGGTCTTACCCTCAACAAATTATTAAATTTTGACTATATTTTCTTCAGTACTTGTATAAACTTGTTTTGTACACTTAAATTTAACAATCAATTCCATTTATTTTTTGCATATACTATGAAGGATGGGTCAAGCTTCTATTTTTTCCTCAAAGAGATATTTAATTTTCCAAGTGACATTTATGAGTTATTCTTTGGTTTCTTTTATTTATTTAATTTATTTTTTAAAATAATATTTTACTGTATTTTTGGAGAAGGTTTACACAGCAGTTTAGGTTCCCATTTAACAATTTCAACATGATTTGTTCAATGACATTGGTTACATTTTTCACAAGTTGAGAACATTCTCATTTCTGTTCTGGTAGTTCTGTTTCCATTCATCTAGTTTCCCTGCCCCCTTAGATTCTTATCTTTTTTAGAAGTAGTTGTTGAATGTTTGGTCTTATATAAATTATTTTTTAAAGGATTTCATAGTACTCACGGGTGATATTCTTTATTTTGTGAGCCAATATATTATTTAGCTGAAAGGTGACCTCTGGGGTTAGTTTCGGTTCAAGGTTTAAAGAGTATTTGAGGGCAATAGTCTCAGGGAGACCTCCAGTCTCAGGCAGTCCAGTAAGTCTGAATTTTTTTAATGAATTTGAGGCTCTGTTCTATATTTTCTCCTATTTCATCAGGATCCATCTATTGTGGCCCTGATCAGAACAGTCAGTAGTGTTAGCCAGGCATCATCTAGTTCTTCTGGCCTCAGGGTAGAGGTTGTGGTTTGTATAGACTATTAGTCTTGTACACTAATTTTTTCTTTGAGTCTTTGGTTTCCTTATTTCTCTTTTGCTCCAGACAAGAAGAGACCAATAGCTATATCTTAGATGACTGCTCACAAGTTTTTAAGATTCCAGATGCTACTCACCAAACTAGGATATAGAACATAAACTTTATGAACTATATTATGCCAATTGACTGAGATGTCCTTTGAGAATATGGTCCTAAGCCTACAAATCCAGAAAATCACTCCTGCAAGGTATTTGGTTATATCTAAGAAATATCTGTAACCATGCCCCCATGTGCTTTATTTTATATGTATGTATATATAGTCACATACTTGCATATACATATGCATAAGCTATATATACACACATATATACTCACATATACATACCTACACATATATATGCATACGCACATACATATATACCCGTGCATGTATTTTTTGGTTGTTGTTGATATTATTTCAAAATTATATATGCCACAGCAATTACCAAAAGGTCTTTTTTTCTTGTGTACATCTTAGTGTTATTGTTTACCTTCATTAGGCTGTGTGTACTTCACTCTTATTTGGTGTTCTGTGGTTTCTTTACTGATATTAAATACTGTTTTTATCATAATTTAAATTTCCCTATATACATAGGGATTTTTTGTCTCTCTAATTTGTTCTCTGATATATTTTTCTGTTCTCATGCCAATACTACAATGTTTTAATTACTAAAGTTTTATAATAAAGTATGATTTGTTATTTGGTTGGGTAATAAGTTCCCAGTCATTATTTTCTTCATTAAATATTAGGGGTTATTTTATTTATTTATTTATTTTTATTGTACTTCAGGTGAAGGCTTACAGAACAAATAGTTTCTCATGAAACAGTAGTACACATATTGTTTTATGACATTGGTTAACAACCCCACA